GAAACTAACTACAGTAACCCATAGTTATCAGTGACAGGTGACATAGAAGAGGAAGCAATCTGATATACTATTTGATGTGACTAGTAAGTACATCTATGAGGAACCATGTAGTAAGTCATGCAAGTGATTTCCGGGGAAGACCGGAAACTATGGTTAATGAGAGATAAGTAGGGGTATTAAGTCTTCCTTAACCCCTAAAAATGCAGCTATCATCAATGTGTCATCCTTTTAAATCAAAGTAAATACAGAATGTTCATATAGTTGTTCACATATATATGTACATAATGTTTCTCATCCATTACATGCCTGTACAAAAGTGTACAGGTATGCAATGGTGGTGACCGTTAGCCCGCACTCTCTCACTGCTGCCTATTTACATGCATCTCAGGAGCATATTAGCGCTAAGCCAATCAAAATAATGTAAAGATGGTAAAAATAGAACTACTGGTATCTTGGGAAACAACATTAATTGTTCTGTGTATAGACAATTTTTGGCCCAATATAATCTTATGAGTAATAATTTGTATAATTCATTGTGTAGGGTACAGGAGGCCAGAGTGTATTCACACACAGTACTTATATCGAGGGCCCCCCCACCCAGGTTGATTTACTGACCCGGCCCAGGATTCAACCCCACAAGCTGATTAACTCCTGAGTACCTACTCACTGCTAGGTGAACAGAGGCATTAGGTGAAAGGATATGTGCCCAACCATTTCTGTCCCACCTGGGATTCGAACCCGAAATTCTCGATTGTGCGTCGAGAACAAACTCGACTGTACTACTGGGACCCCTATAATGACGATGGGGTGACTATGGAGAAAAAAGGAATAGAGGGAGATGTCTGGAGAACTACCAACAATCCCTCATCTCATTCACATCTGAGATAATTCCCTTATCTCTTTAACATCTGCTCCATTTAATCTTTCTATATATTTAACCCATCCATAGTATTTTATCAAGACCAAAAAAAACTATCAAATAAATAATAGCAAATTTACATTATATAACAAAGGTGGTAGTGTCAACAATTTTCACTACATCATCTGCTGATCAGCTCAGCAGAAACAACCAGCTCTGCCTCCCTTCCTCAGTTAGATCATGCCAACCCACTATTTTATCATAAAGCAACATAATAGACATGGCTTTCCAATACCAGGAGAAATAAGTAACCTCAAATTTGCAGCATAAGTAATAAGTGAGCATGTGTGTGTGTACGGGTGGTTGCTATATGCAATTGCAAAATATCATGCTAAATAATATTTTCACCATAAATAAAATTAAATGTTGAAGAAATTGAATGTTAATCATGAGTATCATAAATAATCCTGAAATGTTATTCGTATATACAATCTTCAATCATTTGCATTTAAGGCAGGCAGGCTGATGACTGATGGCCACCCATCATTTTTTCTCACCCAGCCAGACCCTCTTTTCTTTGACAATAACACTATCTACACTATTTCATCATAAAGTAAGAAATACAAAACACAAAATTTTCTAATGCCTGAAGCAATATATAACAGCAAATTTTCTTTGTACTTGGTGAGGGAGTGTGTAGTGACAATTACAAAGTGCCATCTGCTAGATAACAAATTTCTAATTTTTGTTGCCAAATATGCTTTCCATGCCTTCTCAACCCCAAGGCAGTAAAACAATTTGAGAAACTGAATGCTTATTTGATGCAAGTAATTATAAAAAACCTTGGAAGTTTCAAATTAAACATCGAGAAAAGATGCCTGAAGATTTCTCACAGTCAGCCTGAAACGGCTCCACTGATATCACGTGGTAATTGTTTAATTATCGAGATTTCAGTTATCCAGAAATCCAGAGAAGGGGTCGATACCTATTAGACCAGATTGTCAATTGCACTGTATTTACACTCCTTAATATACAAGAATTATTGCATATTATTAATTTAATATATTCTCTATTATAAGAAATCATAGTATTTTCAAACTCTTTCATAAGAATAGAAGAAACTGCAAAGACCTTGGCTCATGCAAGGTAGCCCCCCAAAAAACTTTTTTGTACACAGTACTTGTCTAACTTCTGTTTGAAAGCTCTCATCGATCCCACATCTCCTTGTTACTCTAATTTGTTAAATAACTCTATAGAGCCCAATTTCAAAGCCAGTACTTACCAAGGAAGACCTTTCCCCGAATCTGAATTTATCCAATTTGTATACAATGATTAATGTTCTACTCTGTTTTCATATATTTAGCACCATATAAATAACTTTAATCTATTTGTATACTTCCATCATTTAACCCCATACTCTTTCTTTTCTAGAGAATGTAAATGAACTTTCTTAACCACTCTTCACATAATGGAGGTTTCTAATTTTAGATATTAATTTTGTCATCCTTTCCTGTACACTTTCAAGTCAATTAATGTTCATTCCATAGAATTTTGCCAAAAAATTAAAATGCATAAATTGCCTAGGCACTCGATGGTTGAATGGTATGAGTACTGGTTAGCCAGTGGAGTGACCGCTGGCCATCAAGTTCGAATCCTGAAGGGGTCAGAGTTTAAAGTGATGTACAGTAAATAAGAATATTTTCAAAACAGTAACAGCAGTCTTATAGACAGTACTATTGAATTTACCTGAATTACCTGAAGGTCACCATTCTCCATTACTCTCCCACACTAATTTTTCTCCCACACTAACTAATAAACAATAATTAAGTTAACTTAGGAAATTACACTTACCAGTCAGGCTGGGAGACAGCTCACAAGTAATGATCATCAAATTTCACTCAAATGTTATGTTTTCCAACTTTTTATTACACTCTTCAGCATAATGATTGCTCCAGTATGACATCTTGCTAATACAAAATGCAAATTAGTGCTGATAATGCAATAATTAGAACATTGGAATATTGAAAATGTTTGTTGGAATTGTTTTTTTTTTTGCATCTGAGCACCAGACATGCATACATTTCCTTAGCCACACTTTAGTGGTTAACTATTGCATTATCAACACTAATTTGCTTTTTTTTTTATTAGTAAGATGTCTTACTGAAGCAATCACAGTACTGAAGACTAATAAAAAGTGGAAATCCATTCACACTGGACTGAAAATTGACAGCACAAGTTCAATCCCTCCCTCCCTTTCCCCCCTTGCCACAGTTTGGTGGCGAGTTCTTAATCATATTGCATTTTTGGTTTTAACAATGATTGCATACATAAAAAAATCTAATTTTTACATTAGAGACTGGCTGAGTGGAAATAAGTTTGTTAAAATTTTTATCTGCAACTGCTCGCAAAAATGTTAATTTTGTGATTGCCTAGGCACTCGATGGAATATACAGTTAAAGAATGACGAGTTATGCTGGATTTGTACCAAACTAAATGTACTACAAGGTTATCATGAAGATATTTCACCACATTACTCTCCTGGTAAGGTAGCTCACAAATCTGTTTATGTAATACAGTGGATGTAGGGTTTTATGGATGTAAAAACTTTTTTTTTTAATCAGGGAGGGAGGGGTTGCCTGGGATTATAGGGCAAACAAAATCGACCTCACCGCACATGGTTTATCCAGGTAAGTTCATGTTCAATCTTTTAATTATTACATTTACCTAGGCTTTACAAGCATTGAACAGCATCTGCCAATTTTATGCTCATTTTAAAAGCCTAAGTCACCTTGCATAATCTTGAGTCTCCTGAATTTATTTCCCACCTTAATATCTTGAGTATGTACAGAAAAGGGTGACAAAGTTAATCTCATTAATTTGAAACCTCCTTAGTGATTTAAAAGGGCTTTAATTTACATTCTCTAGAAATGTGAAGAGTAATGGGGATATAGACAGAAGCAACAGCTCTTAACATCATATAACCAGGACCCAGTAATGACATGTACCCAGTAAATACATACACCCACTAATTAATTATTATATATATATATATACACACACAGTATATATATACTGTATATTAAAACAAAATATAGTAAATACCAATACGGCAGATATATATAAAAAAAAAAAAAAAAAAAAAGTCTTCCCAAATTTGCCAACGAGGCTATAATTGTATTCCTAATTACCAAAGCAAGAGCAACTTATATCCTGAAGTAAACAGATAATCTTACATATCATATGGAAGCAAGTCTATAATGAGACACCATGTGGCTTTTCTTTTCATAGCAACACTTTATTCAAATTAGAAAATCTAACAAGCAACATATTCATTTGAAAAAACTATCTACTTCATACTTTTGCCTAAAGCCAACATGTACCTCAGGAACTACGATAAGATATATTCAATTTTTTTTTTTTTTTTAATTATTGAGTCTTGGCAAGGTTATAGAGTATTTCATTCAGGCATAAAAGAGCATTAGCTCATAAATAATGTATTTTAATTTGACTGCTTCTAATGAGATCTTTCCAGACAAAATTCCAGAAGCTAATTATTTTTTAGTGCTATAAAATACTGTACTTGGCTATGAATGAAATCAGCAACCAGTATATTGCTCATTATACAAACATTCTTGCAAATGTACAAGTATAATGTTCAATTGAAAATTACAGAAAGACATTATCTAACATCAAATCATTTCGCTAATTACGGCCAGAACACTGAATTTGAATCTATCAACTTTGTGAATCCTTTGAATTGTTGGTTTCTATCAAATGCTGTGAACATCCTGGGCACAGAAGACCACTACACATTATAATAAAGTAGCTCATTTATCAAAAGTAAAAGGACTACCTGAAGTACTGATATGAAAATATTAATATTTTGTAAAAATGAAATCATTAAATTCAGTGACTACAAATTTATTTGTCAACAAATTTTGGGAGCAACTCAAAACAAAATGCACAGATTTAAACAAATATTGAAATAGGTCAATTAACAGGAATAATAGTGCTTGTTAGGATAATCCTCTATTTATATATACTTATTTTATAATCTCAAATAACTTTTGGGAATAATAATAATAATAATATGTACCAACCACATGGTGCCTCAAGAATACACAATAGATGGAACACTCACCATCTGGGGAGGTCGTGACCCATCTCCAGTAAAGCCTTCCATAGGAAAGCTTTGGAGACTTCCATCTCCCTCCCATAGGGAAACAGAGTTCTGAAAGCAAAAACCATCACAATGAGATAGTAAATGTTGCTTAAACACTTTACTTTTCATTTATTGGCATTATGAGGGTTTCACCATAATTATCGTTTAGCAATTCAACATCATGTGGATGTTTCTTAGGCAGGGCTGTCATATTATAGTCTCATGTCCAGCCTTAACCCCTGCACTGCACCCTTTTATAGCAGTGCTCGAAACTTAATTATATATATATATTTATATAACATGAATACACACATGGTATGCATATATTTATGCATACCATGTGTATGCATATATTTATGCATACCATGCATAGAGGCAGGGAGGGAGGCAAGCAGGGTGGAAGGCAGTGAGGGACAAAGGTAGCGTGGGATATATGTTATGAAGTCTTAAACGTTAATTCGCTGACAATGCACCAAACCCTCCAACCCATAATACAATTTTTATCCTGGCTGTAAAATATTTGTCATTATATGTTGATTTTTTTGTGTTTAAGTGTGCAGTATTATTGTACATTATTAATCATTGTTTTATTGCTTCCTGTTTATTAAACAAATACTGTACTTGTTTACTTATGAATAATGCACAGTTGGTATGTGAGACCTCCAGCAGATAGTGTGTATGGGATGTAGGGGAGGTCTGTCAGTGGTTGAGAAGGGATGGGCTCAATCCGATATGCCTATGACACTCGACCCTGTTAGCCAGAATTTTTTTTATTAGATTCTGGATGTACATCATTATATATATTTTTGGTTACAGAGTTTGTTTAGTAATATTATTAGGGTAATAAAAATTTATACAAATACTTGTTTATTGAATGCTTTTTTGTATTAGACAAACTCTCCAGGCTATTTCTGGCTGATAATCTAATGAGTTCGATACCCTAACAGCAGGTTCTCTTGGGGAGGGAGGGAGGCAGTGAAAGTGGGAGGGAGAGCAGCAGTGAGGGTGGGAGGGAGAGCAGCAGTTGGGGTGGGAGAGCAGGAGTGAAGGTGGAAGAGAGCAGCAGCAGTGAGGGTGGGAGGAAGAGAGGCAGTGAGGGTGGGAGGAAGAGAGGCAGTGAGGGTGGGAGGAAGAGAGGCAGTGAGGGTGGGAGGAAGAGAGGCAGTAAGGGTCGTAAGCAATGGGGACAGAGGTAGTGAGGGAGAAATGTGAAATTTGTATATGGAGGTTTTGAAAACAAGAGCAAAGGGAATGAAACAAATTAAAAGTCTTTTGCAAAGGCTTCCAAGAAAGCTCATATTGCCCCCACCTGCACCCAACTCGTCACATGTTGACCCAAATGCTTCAACATCTGAGGTTACCTCATCACCATTAATCTCCACTTCAGTCAACCCAACGCCATCAACATCTATCACCACCTCTTCCATATATATATAACAATGGTCTATCAACAATAAGAATCAAGTTAGCAAGTGGATCAGGACTGCTTGTATTGTCGAGTTTAAAAAAAAAAAAAAAAAAAAAAAAGTCAAATTTATGCCTTGAAATTATCTATTCCTCCCTCCCCCTAGATTTTCAGGATGATAGACCACATATACAAACACAACAAGTTATCAGACTATTTATACGTTCTACCTTGTTAGAACAAAAAAAAAAATAAAGTGAGAAACAATGAAAATAGTTGGACACGGTTATTGTCTTGAGATGCCTCACCTCATTTCTACTGAAAAAAAAAAATCCCGAGAGCTACTACAGCTAACCCGCTAGAGGTAGTTTTTTTATTTGGATTTTAGGCCTTCTTGGATACTAATTTAACAATGTAAAACAAAAATCAAAGCCGTTTTTTTTTCACACAACAGGGTCATATTTATTAGGTGTGCAGTACAGGGGTTAAAATACATTGCTCAAGGTTTTCCTCTCCCTTGGATTTGTAAGATTCTAAAATTTTTCATGAAAGTGCTAAAAGACCTAATAACAGTAAGAATATTTATTGCATCCCACAGCATAAGTTTTCAAATAAACATAATAAAAAAAATTGCACACCAAATTTTTCAGAAATCCAATTAAGGAAAATTAAGCCATCTATAATTACTTGCAATGACCCAAAATCAATAATGTATGCAAAACTTAAAATTGCAACTACTTACCCCCTGTAAACCAGAGGAGCCTGGAATGGCTTGAGCAACTAAATCTTCCATCGACTGAGGTTGAGAGGAAAGCATCTGAGGATCAAATCCCTGAGGTCCTCCACTACCACTTCCAGGATCATTACGAGAATCACCCTCCGTAAGTGGGTCAAATGAAAACTGGGACTCTAAAATATCCTTAGTCTCTGTTACTTCCTCATCAACTTCTTGAGGCTCTTCTTTAACACCAGGCTCATCTAATATTACCTGTAAGGAAAAAAATAAATTGTTATTGTTAACAAAATGGAAATTAGTCACGTGTTACAATGTGAGTTGTGGAGGGTAAAGGGTATTAGTTTTTTATATTTGAGAGGAATATAACAATCTGCAAAAACTACCTACAAATAATAAAAAAAAGGAGAAAAAGAGATTACTTAAGCAAAACAGGAATATTTGTTTGTAAGAAATCACTCTTTGGTGATTGTTGTGTGATAATGGACCGTCAGGTCATTTTTAGTGACCTGACCTGATGCAAAATTGCACAATTAGGAAAGATCAGTTGCTACACCACTTCATTAAAGCCAAAATTAAAATTTAGTGCTAAGCAACTGAAAGCAAATAATAAACACACTTTAAACAATAAAATAGAAACTACAAATTAGTACAAGGTAAAATCACTGCTGAACAGAGCTGAAGTGCAAGGAGACAAAGGGAAATACTGTACTGTACATGGTTTGAAATAGCATGGAAGAAATACTGTATAAAGGAAAATCTGGATTTCAGATTTCTGCAGTGTACATTATGAGGTTTTGAGGCAATGTTTAGCCTTTCAACTGTACAACACAGCTGGAGTTAACTATGCTAATTATTCATAAACTGCATGACACTGCTGGGCCCATTTTAAGGTTCCCCGTAAGAGTTTAAAAGTCCTATGGGTACATGTGGTTCACATCTGCTTCTTCAAGCCTTCAGAAAACTGATGCCATCTTGGGTCAAAATCGTGGGCCTGTATGTGAGAGCCTCAATACCGAGAGACTATGAGAAGCACATTCAGCTGTAGCTCATAGCACTGCCTTTATGTAGCTTGTGCCCCCAATACCACTTAATGATGATGAAATACATAAGCCACTGTTATTATTTAAAACAATGGATAGTTTCATAGAAAAATCATGACTTGTGGCATCATTATGAGCTTTCCAAGCTCCATTGCGACCACAGTGACAAAACATTTGTATTACTTTTCCTACGATCAGGAAACACATTTAAACAAGATTAGAAAGAAAATTTTTTAGAAATTTCTTTTTATTTTTGTACACCTCTGGTTATCAGCTATAAACAGGCAAGCAGTGAACGGGGTTAGGTGATGCTGATACAGCAACTATAAATCAACATTCAAGCTATTTAACATGGATGTCATGACTACAACAGCAGCTAAAACCAAGCAGATATATATAATATAAATGAACATTATAATGCAGGAGCTTTACAAACTTGCAGGAGCACAGGAAAAATATTCCAAATAGATTGCCAAGCTCAAATGACCCAAAACTATCAAAAAACCAAAACTGACCCATGACAAAATTAATAATATTCAGACTAAAAACTCATTGAAAAAAGAAAGCAATGCTTAGGCATATTAAGATTGAGGAAGATCTAGAGCAATTAATATAGCATTAAATTGCTCAGATTCAGAGATTTGCAAACTTCAGGAAGACCTAGATTTCATTGCTTATAAATGTAAGTGCTTGGAAATAAAACTAGCATACCTAAGTATCATAAAAATAATGAAAAAGCTGCAAGAACAAATTGTAAAAAGGATCAGTCATGATTTGTGGAAATCTCAAAGAAAAAAATGTATATAATTGTATGAAATAAGGCAACTAGAACACAGAAATTCTTCTCAAACGCTAAGTAACAGCTAATCTAGTGCTATCCTACAGCTCTATCTTGGCTGTGTTAGGCCCCATTTGGATTAATGCAGTGTAGCTTTGGGCGAGATATTATTAAAGGAAATAACCGACTTAAAGTTTTGGATAGATGGCCAGTGGGACACATACTAACTGAAAAGAAGAGCCTAAGTACTCCAAGGAGATTAACCTAAATCAAGACATTTCTAAAAACAAGGAAAAAATGGAAATACATCTAATGGTACTCAAATAATAAATCCAGGTTTTGGAACAAGCACCATTGGCAACAGAATGGCAGAATGCAGTCCCGGCTCCCAGTATCCTCCACAAGTGTACAATCCTTCATTAATAATTAAGAGTAAACGAGTAATAAAAACTAAAGACAAGGTTATGATGAATAAGTTAGGGTTACTACTAGATAAGATACAGAGATGCAACCTCAATAACAAAGTGAAACTTAAAACAATCATAGGCAATGTAGTCTTTTCTAGGGGCTACCAAGTGATCAGAAATGAGAAGAAACAGGGTGAAGAGAAATAGCACTGTTATTGAAAATGCACTCGAGGTTTGAAGGACTATCCACATACGAGGTGGGTAATTCACAGGAATGGAAACAGAACCAGAGGATAGTAAGACAGCTCATTCATGAACCCACAGCTAACAGCAGAAAATATGGTTCAGTAAAGTGTATAAGATCAATGGATTTATACACCATAAAGGAGCCAGAAATAGTAGCATATGGATCAAGAACTAAGCTTCTGTTTAATGGTGAAATCAACTGGGTAAAAAAAGGTCCCTATGGATGGGATGAAATAAGGGCAAAATTAATTGAATTTAGCAACCAGAATATAATACCGATAAATAAAACATTAGGTTTGAGAGGGAGAGAAATGACAAGAACCTTCAGACAATAGGAAACAGGGAAGGTAATAGAAATAAAAAAGAAAAGGACTAGGACAATGTAACACGAGTGGCATACATGCTACCTCCCACGTGAATGTTTTTTTGAATTAACAAATAAACAACAAATTTGAAATCCTATGGCTTGGGAGTGGTAACATACAATAAAGCTCAATTTTTGCTGTGTTGTAGGTGTAGGAACAACACAAGTGAGATGGTGGTGAATGCCAAAACCATCAGCAGTTTCAAAGTGCCATATGATATTACAGGAAAGATGGGGCACCATGAATATAGTTCCCATTCTGAAACTACACTTAGGCAATTATACATGTCCACATCCAAACAAACCCCACCCAACACACACGCCACCTTGTTTACCTACTGCTGGTTCTGGGGTGATGCGCATGAGCATAAATATCCCCCGTGGTCTAGTCTGACCAGACCTCCTGCTTAAGTTTAGTCAACCGGGCTGTTACATGCAGCTGCTCAGTCTGAAAGTCACAGCCCAGTTGATCAGGTATTGTTTGGAGGGGTTCATCAAGTTCTCTTAAACAGTTAAAAGTCAGCTAATTATGCCCCTCATGTTTAGAGGGAGTGATAAAAAGTTTTGGGTCTTCAATGTCGATAAAATTCTCTCGGCATACCTATTGCACCTCTTGCTTTTCACTGGGTCTATTTTGCACTTCCTGCCATGCTTATTGGTCTCATGTTGACCCATTTCTGTGTGCAGATTTGGAACAAGTCCATTTAATATTTCCTATAAGTTGACTTCCCATAAGTAAATTATTATGTATCTCAGCTGCACTTTAGAAAATAGAGATTTAAACATTTTAAGCAGTCCCAATTATTTATATATTTTACTGTGTGGATTCAGGCAGTAAGAGACCTTTGCATGTTCTGCAGATCAGCAATTTCTCCAGCTTTGAATGGCACTTTTAGTGTGCAACAATATTCCACTCCATAACCCCTTAAACATATGCACAAAACCCCTCACTCCCCTAACTCATCCCACCCACCTTCATACCCACAGAAGCCACTGAAGCAGTGTTCTGGGAGTTTTGCTCCCTGAGCCTGGCCTGGGGCTAGGCTTGATTTATGATAAATGTAGGGTAAATTTGAAAAGTGTGGGATACATATTTTTTTTAGTTTATTTAGACAACTTGGGAAAATTTTATATTTTATTTTTTTCAAACAAATTTGTATAACATATGGAGTAAGAAAACTACTGAGCAGCTTCAGGATTAGGTCTAATGATTATGAATATGTTTTTTGTTAATTTAAATATGATCAGGCTTACAATGTCAAACAAGAACTTAAATGTCAAGGGACCAAAATGCTAAATTTGAATAATAGTTATATTCTCAACATTGAGGGTAAACCTGTCAAAAAAATCATAACCTATCCCTGTCAGGAATATCTAATAAGAAAAACATTTAAAAACTCGTGCTTACCTCAGGTACAGCCTGCTGTGACTGACTAGATGTCTGCTCACTTCCCCGATGCTTTGATTCTTGTGCATTGGGGAGGTTCGGAAGTTCATTGCCTTCACTGTGACCTTGACTACAATCCTCTGACACCGATTCAGAGGCACTTCCAACAGAAGGAGAAGGAGAGATGGGCATGGGAGCAATTCTGGATGCAGCAGGAGAAGGAGTTGGTATAGAGGCACTAGTTGACTGTCTTTGGGATTGATTTGAGCTGACCGTGCTGGGCTCTCTACTTTCTCTTTGAGTATGAGAGGGTAACGGTCTTGGTTCTTCATCTCTCTTTCTTCTTTTTGCTATGGGACTATCTTCTCTGATACCAGAAATTCTTTTACTTTCTTTATATTCTTTAGAAGGAGCTTCATCAGGTACTGCAAGGCCTTTAATCATAAGGCATTCTGCTGCCTTTATTAAACCAGCCAGTTCATTTTGTAACACATTCACTTCACCTACATACATATAATTAAGAAGAGCCTCTAATTCCTCATGTCTAATATCTTTTAACACTATTATTGGATGTTTACAGTTTGTCCTTTCAAACATTTGTTCAAAGTAATCACTACATGTTGATAACACCAGTTTGTGGACTGGGTAGAATTTTCCATCACAGGCAATAGTCACATCACAATAGGATTCCTGAAATACAAAAATAAATGCACATTAATTATCAAAAGGTTTGACAACAAGATTGTTATACAAACATACAAAAATTAATTTCCGTCCTACTAAATAAAAATTTATTTTATAATATTAACTAAAATTAAGTAACATGCATGTTTTCACCACCTAAATGTTAAGTGCAGTGAATCAAAACCATTTTTGTCTGGGGAAACCTATCTTCATACCTTGAAGATAGTTCGTTATCATACGTTATCAGACGGTACATTCGGGAACTGAGCTTTTCACGGTATACAATTCAGATTTTATCTTGTTGACTATTAAACTCTAGGTCCTGTTTGTTAGGAGGTTAAAGATCCATCTCCCTATTTTGCCAGTAATTCCTTTTGTGTGCATTATGTGCAATAACAACATGGTCAAATTTCTCAAAAGGCTTCTACAAAACCTGTTTATATTACATCAGAATTTTGTCTTTCATGGCATCTAGGGCCATGTCATAGTGGTCTAGAAATTGTGAGGCAAGAGCACCCTGATCTGAACCCAAGTTGCCCACAGTTATGTAGACACTGATTCCATGAGTTTTGTTATCTTACTTCTTAGCACCATTTCAAAGATTTTTATGATGTGCAATATTAAGAGCTACTGGCCTATACTTTTTGCATCAGCTTTACTACCTCCTTTGTGAAGTGGTGGTGTTAGGTAGTCATCTAGGGTGCAGTTTGGTGGTCTGTGTTGCAAAGTTTCATCTAGAAAGGTTTCTAAAAACTTTACATTATGTAATACAATACACTTTTTGGTTAGGTTTGAATATAGAATTCTATATAGAACTCACTCTGTCTCTCTTTACACTAGTATGACCCAGCAAAGACCCACTGCACCTGTGAAGACTGTCAACCTGCTCTGAGTGCACCAGATCTCAAGAGGTCAGTAGGATCTTGCCTCTTTATTATGTAAGAAACTCTACTACTGTGTACTGTGTATATAAATTATTGTGTACTGCTTAGAAAATTATTTTCCATTGCCATTTACCTTCAGCAGATTTATACCTGAGGCCAGGTACTAGAACTAGCTACATTATTAACCCCCATATTTTTTCCAAGACCATTGTTTGCTAATCATTTTACATCCAGTTTCCTCATGCTTACTGCCCAAGGTTTGAACCCAGCTCATACTCATGTAAGGTAAGTGGGTGAATGTACTAACCACTACACAACACGGTGCTCTTGAGTATATTAATTTTCAAGCTACACATTTTATGTCAAATTGGCAATATCAATGCTGAAAAATATTTATGAAATTAATCATCTACAGCTCATCCCCCAACCATGAACATATTAGATACAGGCCTTCCATGGAAAATATAGGACCTTAACTCTTAATTAATGACAACTCTGAATATGGCAGAAGGGGAAGGGGAATTATCAGGGGGGAAAGTGCAAAGCCATTATACCTATATAGCACTTTGAAGGGGTCAGGATAAGGATTTGGGATGGGACAGAGGGAAGGAATGGTGCCCCAACCACTTGTGTATGGTAGGGGGATTGAACGCCGACCTACATAAAGGCAGACCGTCGCTCTACCGTCCAGCCCAAGTGGTTGAACAGTATAACCCAGTAAATTATAATAAAATTTTCCTCATATATATCACATTAGTGTGATTTATTGTTTATTATACAAATTATGCTTACCTTGCTCCTAATAGTGGAGAGGATATGGAAGAAAGTGCTTCGGTGGTTGTTCCACTTCAGGGATAACAACCCACTCGCCATGGCTGTTTTCTGAAGAAATAATTCTTTGCATTAATACTTAAAATATTAGTAAATTATCAAACACAAACAATAGTGAAAAAGGCTTGTTTAAATTTAATAACTATAAAGGAGATTTTAAAATGCTTAATTCTACCTACTTTAAACTTGTTAAAAGTTTATTAAACATATAATTAAAGAGTAATAAAGAGTTGACTTTTCACCCCATGGAAAGAAGGAAAAGTCAGGAAAGAAGTGGAGTTCAAAATGTGGTTTTCATAATCAATTCTTTATAATATTATCTAAGTATATTATGGAAGTTAACAGTTTATCACTAAATATATTAATTTGTTCACCTAAAATTAATCATCTCAAAACACTTTTACTTAAGTTATTTTTGACTTGGAGCAACCTGAATGCTTTCTGGCATCAATAACACACTAACCTACTAGAGAAAACTAGAATAGTATTGTACAAACAAAAATATACAAAAAGAGGAGGGGATGATCAAGGAAGCCAATGACCCAAGTTATCATATAGCTTCAGCACAGCCCTGATTTGGAAACCTGGTTGAGAAAGATCCCAAAAATAAAACTTCATTCTGATAAATGAAAATTTTTGCATATTTACAAGTGGAAACTAAAAACGAAGTTATCAATGTAGCTGAACGTACAATTCATAGTGCAATATACACAAATTAACTAGAACATAACTAGCTGTACAATTGATAATTCCATGCAAATTGTTTACTGGAAGCCAGGAATAAATTCCCTAGTACAGTATATAACCTTGATGAGGGAAACATTAAATACTGAATATAGTACTGTGTATGTAAAGTAGCTTATGAAATAAATTATGTATACTATAGGTGAGTGACATGAATGTATTTGAGCATTCCAATGTTCCACACATTTTATTATAAATTTCTCAAGACACACTATTGAATAACATTACTGCAAAAAAAAAAAAAGAGAAAAACAATTTGTTCCATTTGTTCATAGCCCTATGGTGGCATGCCCAGGAAATTGGAGGAAGACTTGGATGCAGCAATAGCACATGGACAGTTTGACATGTGCTCACACCGTTAAGATCTGTCAAGAACTACCACCAAATGTGGCAGCTTGTCAGCAGACTTTTGTGTCAGACCTCTGAGCCTCAACCCAAGGACCCCCATGAGGAATGATGCCTTCAGCCTTGAGCTAGACATTTCTCATTCGATGAGTCACATTGTGGTTGAAGAGTCGATATTCAAACCCACAACTGAAAAAGAAACATTTCTTCTTGATAATGGGCCAAAAATGTCGTCGTCTCTTCATTTCAGTTGCGTGTTGGATATCATCTCACCAACCTGAAAATGGGACAGACCTGCCTACTGACTCGCTCACATTGTTTACAGGTCTTAGGCATCCCTATTGCCAATGGTTGGGATACAACAATATTTCTTATTGCAATGCCTGAGGGTTCAAGTGGCATGCAAGCGCGCCAGTGTGAAGGATGACACCTCGCTTTTCACTCGACAGGCACACCTGTTTCAGATTACCGAAGAGCATCTTACCCCCCAGAATCATCATCTCACTTCAAAATAAATAATATATATATTAATAGGTACTGCATAGGCATTTTTGCTAAATTTTCTTTTTACTATATAACGTTTCCCAAAAGCCTCAAGATTTAAGGAGAAAAAATTGCAATTTTCCATCATAATGTAAGCTGTCTGAACCCTGGGAACTTAAAACAATATTAGCTTACTGGGACAACCTAAACTACTTGACAAGGACCGAACTGCATTCAAATTACTCCATTAAACCCACAAAAAATTACGAAATTCCTGCGTAGATACTTTGGAAGAATATGCAGTTAGGGTAAGCAGTGGGGGAAGAGTGTGTGGAGACAAAGGGACGAGAGGGAGGGAGAGCAGCAGGAGGAGAGCGGCCTCCCTGCGCCGCCGCACCAAGCCGCTACCACTACCAGCGTCACCCACACCCTCTACACTCACACCCTCACACAACACAAACTACATACACTTACACGCATTACTACATCTCAACCTTGTCTATGAGTCCTTCTTTAGTAGCCAGACACAAACTTTAGAGAAAATACTCACTTTTCTCGCTGAAACCTCGATTTGACTAAGGAACCGCCATTCACCCTCCTTTGTGGCACAAAGCAAACATGGCGTCTTTCCGATTGCCGTGTTCGGTTCGCTGACTTCTCCAAAACATTACCTGCAAAATTAATGTCTTAGCTAATCCTGAATATTACGTATCAACTTGAAAAATAATTTAAACACTACATTTTATAATTATACATATTTTGCATTATTTTAAGGATGTGACAGCAGTATGAGAGGGTTGCCATGATCCACCGGGGAAGGGGATCCGGACAGGGCGAGTTAACGTACCCTGAGCTCGGCCGCTCCACCAACCTATATCTTCTTTCTCATGTGTTATCGAATTTCATATATATTAAATTCTCCCCCATCAACCTGCTATATACTTCTAATTGTCCTGCATCAATTACTGTTACACATGTACAGCCTTTGCAGTCCTCGGATGTGTTTTTATGGTTTACATATAAATTATGTTCATATATTCAACTTTCAACAAACGAATAACCTACCTGTAATTCAGCGTCAAGTAAAACTAATATTAAAAAATTCAAACTATGTATTAGGAATATATAAGATAATTTTTTTATTAGCAAGCTTGGGTATACACATGTGTATACCCAAATTGCGGCTCCAGTATGGAGTCCAAATATATATCTAGTCAATCTAGTCAAGCATAAGACTAAACTGGAAAAGGTTTAAAGGTTTGCCACCAGAATAGTACCAGAACTGAGGACTATGAGCTACGAGAAGAGACTACGTGAATTAAACCTCACGTCACTGGGAGGCAGAAGAGTTAGAGGGGACATGATCACGACATACAAGATTCTCAGAAAAATTGATAGGGTAGATAAAGACAGGCTAATTACCGCAAAGGACACACGGGGTCACAGGTGGAAATTGAGTGCCCAAATGAGCCATATAGACATTAGAAAGATTTTTTTCAGTTTCATAGTAGTAGACAAATGGAATGCATTAGGAAGTGATGTGGTGGAGGCTGACTCCATACATAGCTTCATGTGTAGATATGATAGAGCCCAGTAGGCTCAGGAACCTGTACATTAGTTGATTGACAGTTGAGAGGCAGGACCAAAGAGCCAGAGCTCAACCCCCACAAGAACAATTAGGTAAGTACAGTAATGTGATGTAACTCTTGTAACTCTCTGAATGTATTTACTGAACTTTTAAATTATTATTATTATTATTACTATTATTATTATTATTATTTAGATATTAAATGTGGGCTGACGTGCGCAACGCACTGCTTATACTGCATTATATCTTATTATCTATCAGCGAGGGCTTTGTCTTTATTACAGAACGAATAGACTCAAGATGGTGCAAACAATACAACTCCAATAATCCACTGGATTATTGCATGTTTGCATCTAAACCGCAGTTGCACACTTCATTTATTTTTTACCGCCAGAGGTGGAGAGTTCATTAAGCATCCCCCTATACAACCAGCGAGTGGTAGTTTATTGTGCACCCCGAAGCCCGACCAGTTGTGTAACCGGACCCCGACCAGTTGTGTAACTGCAAGCCTAGCATGAATTAACGAACCCAACAAAACCTCTGTGGCACAACTTTGCACAAATCGAAGCCCAAATACGCACATCCCGAAGCCCGACCAGGTACGTAACCGCAGCCCGACCAGTTGTGTAACCGCAAGCCTAGCATGAACGAACCGAACAAACAATATCCGAAGCACAAACATACACAAACCGAAGCCCGACTATGCACAACCTGCAGCCCAAGTGAAATCCCCGGACCCCGACCCCTTTTGTAACTGGAGCCCGACCAATAGTGTAACCGAAGCCCCCCAGTTATGTAACCGGACCCCAACTAATTGTGTAACCGGACCCCAAACAGTTGTGTACCTGCAAGCCTAGCAAGAAAACATCTCATCCAAGCCTAACAGCCCCAGAGCCCAAACAAACTCCCTCCCTATAGCTCTACCAAACAAATCCTTCCTTAGCCCTACCTAACAACCTCGCCCCCCCCCACCCTTGCCACAACAACTAACTTTGGAGCCAAAGCAAACAAACAATTGAGCCCTATAAAAAAAAAGAAACCTGGAACTCTTGCAACAATACAACAATGAAAATGTTAGAAAATAAACATGCACTCAGCCATAGCAAAGAAACAACCATAATGATCTAGCAAAGAAACACGAGGCATTAGCACACAACCCCTGGAGCACAACCATGCACGAACCGAAGCCCGACCATGCACAACCCGAAGCCCTAGTGACACCCCCGGAGCCCGACCAGTTAGATAACCGGAGCCCGACCAGTTGTGTAACCGGAGCCCGACCAGTTGTGTAATCAGACCCCAACCAGTTGTGTAACTGCAAGCCTAGCATGAACGAACCAAACAACCCCTGGAGCACAACTATACACGAATCGAAGCCCGACCATGCACAACCCGAAGCCCAAGTGACACCCCCGGAGCCCGACCAGTTAGATAACCGGAGCCCGACCAGTTGTGTAACCGGAGCCCGACCAGTTGTGTAATCAGACCCCAACCAGTTGTGTAACTGCAAGCCTAGCATGAACCAACCAAACAACCCCTGGAGCACAACTATACACGAATCGAAGCCCGACCATGCACAACCCGAAGCCCAAGTGACACCCCCGGAGCCCGACCAGTTAGATAACCGGAGCCCGACCAGTTGTGTAACCGGAGCCCGACCAGTTGTGTAATCAGACCCCAACCAGTTGTTTTAACTGCAAGCCTGAACCAAACAACCCCTGGAGCACAACTATACACGAATCGAAGCCCGACCATGCACAACCCGAAGCCCAAGTGACACCCCCGGAGCCCGACCAGTTAGATAACCGGAGCCCGACCAGTTGTGTAACCGGAGCCTGACCAGTTGTGTAATCAGACCCCAACCAGTTGTGTAACTGCAAGCCTAGCATGAACCAACCAAACAACCCCTGGAGCACAACTATACACGAATCGAAGCCCGACCATGCACAACCCGAAGCCCAAGTGACACCCCCGGAGCCCGACCAGTTAGATAACCGGAGCCCGACCAGTTGTGTAACCGGAGCCCGACCAGTTGTGTAATCAGACCCCAACCAGTTGTGTAACTGCAAGCCTAGCATGAACGAACCAAACAACCCCTGGAGCACAACTATACACGAATCGAAGCCCGACCATGCACAACCCGAAGCCCAAGTGACACCCCCGGAGCCCGACCAGTTAGATAACCGGAGCCCGACCAGTTGTGTAACCGGAGCCCGACCAGTTGTGTAATCAGACCCCAACCAGTTGTGTAACTGCAAGCCTAGCATGAACGAACCAAACAACCCCTGGAGCACAACTATACACGAATCGAAGCCCAACCATGCACAACCCGAAGCCCAAGTGACACCCCCGGAGCCCGACCAGTTAGATAACCGGAGCCCGACCAGTTGTGTAACCAGAGCCCGACCAGTTGTGTAATCAGACCCCAACCAGTTGTGTAACTGCAAGCCTAGCATGAACCAACCAAACAACCCCTGGAGCACAACTATACACGAATCGAAGCCCGACCATGCACAACCCGAAGCCCAAGTGACACCCCCGGAGCCCGACCAGTTAGATAACCGGAGCCCGACCAGTTGTGTAACCGGAGCCCGACCAGTTGTGTTATCAGACCCCAACCAGTTGTGTAACTGCAAGCCTAGCATGAACCAACCAAACAACCCCTGGAGCACAACTATACACGAATCGAAGCCCGACCATGCACAACCCGAAGCCCAAGTGACACCCCCGGAGCCCGACCAGTTAGATAACCGGAGCCCGACCAGTTGTGTAACCGGAGCCCGACCAGTTGTGTAATCAGACCCCAACCAGTTGTGTAACTGCAAGCCTAGCATGAACCAACCAAACAACCCCTGGAGCACAACTATACACGAATCGAAGCCCGACCATGCACAACCCGAAGCCCAAGTGACACCCCCGGAGCCCGACCAGTTAGATAACCGGAGCCCGACCAGTTGTGTAACCGGAGCCCGACCAGTTGTGTAATCAGACCCCAACCAGTTGTGTAACTGCAAGCCTAGCATGAACGAACCAAACAACCCCTGGAGCACAACTATACACGAATCGAAGCCCGACCATGCACAACCCGAAGCCCAAGTGACACCCCCGGAGCCCGACCAGTTAGATAACCGGAGCCCGACCAGTTGTGTAACCGGAGCCCGACCAGTTGTGTAATCAGACCCCAACCAGTTGTATAACTGCAAGCCTAGCATGAACCAACCAAACAACCCCTGGAGCACAACTATACACGAATCGAAGCCCGACCATGCACAACCCGAAGCCCAAGTGACACCCCCGGAGCCCGACCAGTTAGATAACCGGAGCCCGACCAGTTGTGTAACCGGAGCCCGACCAGTTGTGTAATCAGACCCCAACCAGTTGTGTAACTGCAAGCCTAGCATGAACGAACCAAACAACCCCTGGAGCACAACTATACATGAATCGAAGCCCGACCATGCACAACCCGAAGCCCAAGTGACACCCCCGGAGCCCGACCAGTTAGATAACCGGAGCCCGACCAGTTGTGTAACCGGAGCCCGACCAGTTGTGTAATCAGACCCCAACCAGTTGTGTAACTGCAAGCCTAGCATGAACGAACCAAACAACCCCTGGAGCACAACTATACACGAATCGAAGCCCGAGGATGCACAACCCGAAGCCCAAGTGACACCCCCGGAGCCCGACCAGTTAGATAACCGGAGCCCGACCAGTTGTGTAACCGGAGCCCGACCAGTTATGTAATCAGACCCCAACCAGTTGTGTAACTGCAAGCCTAGCATGAACCAACCAAACAACCCCTGGAGCACAACTATACACGAATCGAAGCCCGACCATGCACAACCCGAAGCCCAAGTGACACCCCCGGAGCCCGACCAGTTAGATAACCGGAGCCCGACCAGTTGTGTAACCGGAGCCCGACCAGTTGTGTAATCAGACCCCAACCAGTTGTGTAACTGCAAGCCTAGCATGAACAAACCAAACAACCCCTGGAGCACAACTATACACGAATCGAAGCCCGACCATGCACAACCCGAAGCCCAAGTGACACCCCCGGAGCCCGACCAGTTAGATAACCGGAGCCCGACCAGTTGTGTAACCG